TGGGAACGGCCTTACCACGAATCCCAAGGCCCAGAGCGCTGCTCCCTGTACAGAAAAATACTGACGGGTCCACTGTGTTTTCAGAGGTAACCCGGCTGGCCTCTGACTCGCAGTCTTCCTGCCTCGGCCTCTCTACTACTGAGATTACAGATGGACATCACCAAACTTCATTTGAAAACCAATAGATTTCCTACAAAAGTGAAAGAAACATGTACAGAAAAGTTACCAGGCGTGAGAAGGCAGCAGGAAGGGCTCAATCAATGCCTGCGATGTACCAGGCAGCGCCCCACTCTGCACCTGTATCACCACATTTGCCCTTCAGGCCAGGCAAGGTGAGATGCGAAGCCGCACACAGCACAGTGAAACAGTGCTGTGAGGGAGGGTTCAGCAGGATTCCTGTCTACTCTGGTCTTTAGACTGGCTCTCCATAGCTTGTGATCCTCCTGCCTCAGCCTCCCAAGTGCAGGGATTAGAGGTGTGTATCATCACAGCAAGCAAGCATTCCCGTTTTAAAGATAAGAAAGTGGAGGCCCATAAAGTTAAGTTAACTTGGGAAGATCACACAACTAAGAAGTAGCAGAGCTAGAGTCAAACCCAGGCGGTTAGGTCCAGTGTCATCTCCCTACGCCACACCGCAGGAGAAAACATCCACCTTACCTTACAGAACGGGGCAATACAGACATGGGAGGATATCAAGTTCAAGCCCAGCCTGGACAAGCTAGCGAGAACCCATCTCAGAAGTACAATTTAAGAAGAACTAGGCGTGCAGCTCAGTGTGAAGGCCCTGGACTCAAGCTCCAGAACTTGCACGTGTGCACACACATATACACAAATCAAGGAGATAAATATTAACAACCCAGTAGGAAAAAGGGGAAAGATAACAGGCAAGTCATACACAGAAACATCCAATAACCTGCAAGGACAGGCTGGGATGTAGCTGAGGGGTGGGACGCTGCCCTGGTGTCCGCGAGGCCCTGTTGGATCCCCAACACTGCTAAATAAACACATTTTACAAATTATATAAAGATGTCCAATTTTAGGAGTCATAAGCACAACCAACCAAGATAAGATCTCTCCAGATAATGGATTACAACGGAATTTGAGGTGTGAGGACTGCTGGGGGTAGCCCAGAACATCTTTCATGCCACTTAGCAATGCCCACCAATTCAAAGACTTTTTATTTTGAGACAGGGTCTCACTAGGTACTCCATGCTGGCCTTCAACTAACTATATATCCCAGGCGGGCAGGGAGCTTGAGGTGAGCCTCCTGCCTCAGCCTCCCCAGTGCTGGGGTGACTAGCATGCGCTACCACTCCCAGCTTTCTTATTTTATCTTTTTCTTTTTCTCCAATGCTGTTTGTAATAATCAGCACTAACTCTTCCTGTTCCTTTCACGTGCAACTGAAAAATGACAACTAAGGACAGAACACTCATTTTATTTTATGACAGGGTCTCACTAAACTGCGCAGGCTGGCTCCGAAACTGATTTTAGGCAGCAGCAGGGTTACAGGAGCGGCCCTGGAACCCTCCGGCCACTCAGGAGCAGCCTTCACTGTCACACCTGGCGCGGCACCTGCGGCGAGCCTGCGTAAAACGCGGACAAGTGGAGTTCTCTGGCGCTGGAGTTGGAGCCTGCAGTGACAAGCGGCTATGGTGCGCCTGCGCAGGACGTCCCGCATGCTCAGTAGTCCGCGTACCGGAGAGACCTACGGACTGCGGAGAGCGCGGTAGTGAGCCCCGCGAGGGACCTGCAATTTGAGAACGCGGTCTTCCGCCTAACGTCGTTGCATCTTTGGCACTGTAAGTTTCTCCTCTGCCAGGGAGGGCAGGGCCTTGGGCACAACTCCTAATTTCTTTCCTTAACTCCACCATCCTTTTGCACAGATAAAGGGAGATTTCAAGGATTTATGTCTTTAAAAAAACAAACTACGTGAATCATGCTGCCTCACCAGATATCTCCGTTACATTCACAGGCGTCATCATTTTATTTTATTTTTTATTGGGGGATTTGAGACAGGCTCTTACTATGTAGTTCAGGATGGCCTTGAACTCACGATGTAGCCCAGACTGTCCTGGAACTCGCAGCGATCCTGCTGCCTCAGCCTCTCCCGAGCTGGGATTACAGGTGTGCAACACCATGCCCGGTGAATTTGAACTTATCTGTGCCTTTATTTTCGTACTGCGGGGTCATTTCCTAGCTAGATTTCGAGCTTCTTAATGCACCCAAATTTAGAAATTCTTCCGCCCAACGCTAAATTCCATTACAATAGCAAATGCTTCAGTTGGCTTTTGTGCAAACTTCCAGGCCTGCAGGACATTCTGGGCCTTTCTGAGGACTGGTGCTCTGGAGCGAGGTCCCCGCCCTCTGGGACCCGCTGGCTGTGCTGCCCACGCCAGCCTGAGACCTTGAGTAGCCACCTCGCCCTGCTTTGGTTGCATTTCTGTCCTAATGGGTGACATTGATCCTTTTTTTCTAGAGATTCCGCCCTGTCCTTGGGCCGCCTTTCTACTGGATAATTCACCTTTGGCCTGCTGATGCAGGGAACCCTGTACAACTGATCTCAGCCCTCCAGGGTGTGGCAGTGATTTTTTTTTCTCCTTTTGCCCACTATCTATCTGTTAACTCTGTTTAGGGTATTTTGCCTATGTAGAAGTTTTCATTTTTGTTTAAATTCACCGATATATTGTATTGTTTTATGAATTCTTGGTTTTATACTTTCATGGCCTGCACAAGTTTATAAAACATCTGTATTTTTATGCCTCATGCTTTAGCTTTGTTGTTTGTTTGTTTTGTGTTTTGTTTTGTTTTTTTGGTACCAGGGATCGAACACAGGACCTTGTGCTTGCAAGGGAGGCAGAGGAACCACTGAGCTAAATCCCCAACCCTCATGCCTTAGTTTTAATAAAAAACCATTCATTGACCCAGTGTGTTTTTTTTAATTTGTTTTGTTTTGTTTGAGACAGGGTCTCACTATGTAGTTGAGACTGACCTCGAACTCACTATGTAGCTCAGGCTGGTCTCAAACTCACTGTGATCCTCCTGCCTCAGCCTCCCAAGTAAGTACTGGGATTACAGGTGTGTGCCACCATGCCTGACAAGAGTGTATTTTTATATGAAGAGTGCAGGACCGGGGATTTGGCTCAGTGGTTCTGCTACCTGCCTCTCAAACTTAAGGTCCTGAGTTCAATCCCCGGTACCCACTCCCCACAAAAAAAGAATGCAAAGAAAACCTACCCCCCCATGCAGGGGCTGAACTCAGGACCTTGTGCTTACGAGGCAGGTGGTGGAACCACTGAGCTAAATCCTGAACCCAAGAAAATCATTTTTTAAAACAAATTAGCCACAGCTGGGCATGGTGGCACACACCTGTAATCCCAGCACTCGGGAGGCTGAGGCAGGAGGATCACTGTGAGTTTGAGACCAGCCTGGGCTACATAGTGAGTTCCAGGTCAGTCTCAACTACATAGTGAGACCTTGTCTCAAAAAACCAAAACCAA